CCCCCCCACACACACACACACACACACACACCATCACCACCACCTCTGTCCACAGAGCTGAGACGTAACAGCAAATTGAGCTCGGGGAATGTGGCTTTGGTTTTGTTTGCTCTGGCCAGGAGATGAGCTTGACTGCTCATTACTGCTTGCTCAAAACCAGGCGAGCAACAAGAGAGGGAAGGAGAGGGAGGAAAAATAAATGCCAAAGTAGCTTGACTGTCTGCTGCTGCTTGAATACAATAATATTGACACCAGAAAACAGAGAGAGTACTGTGAATTGATCTTGCAAAACATGCTTAATAGAGAGAAGCAGTTCTTGGCAAGTGAACAGATGTTATTTTGTAGTACAGTATAGAGTGTATTTACCGTAAATTATACTGATGTCTGTATTTTGGTTAAAACAAGTTGCATTTTTTAACACAAAAATAGCCTGAATACAGATTTTAAAAATTTGTAATATCTTTTTTTCCCCTTTAGTCATTAACATCCTCTCTTTCATCATTATTAGGACTCATTATAATAAATGGATGAAATAATTGCAACACGTACATTCATTGGAACATCTTCATAGAGCAGGAGCTAAAACGTATTTTTTGTTATCTGACTTGACAGAATCACCTCTTTGATGGCTAGTATCTATTAAATGATGGAAGAAGAATAGTAACAAACAATCATATTTATTACACTTGAGGAAAACGTGACAAACTTTTTATTAAGATGTAGCAAAGAGTCTGATGAGATGTATTTTGGAGGGTACATAAAAATTGATGTCAAAACAGATGTCATCATGTTTTTCCAGTGTTGTGGAAAAGTGAAGGAACWGTAAATAAAAACAGCACGATTAGCACGTTTCACATAAAAAATATACTGATCTCGTAATTTTTCATCAAATAAGATTCATTGTAACTTTTCAGATGCAGACAGCCGTCTGGCACAGGCAGAAAGGAAAACAAGCCCTAAAACTCTCAGACAGCACCAGAGGAAGTAAGCATGCAAAAAGACATGCACTTGTACAAGTCTAATCACACTGCGACTTGAAATGGAGCCCCGAGATCTCCTCTGATTTCCTCTCCCTTCTTGGCCCTGGTGCTGCATCTTGTAAAYCATTCTCAATTCACCGAAACAAGCCAGTTGGATTAGCTTGGTTTAGATCATAAACATTTGCAGCGCAGACCACCCAGGGAGAGCGCCGAGCCAAGGTTGGAGTGTGCACGATGCGTGCACGCGGGTGTGTTTGTGTGCGGCGCCCCTGCTCTTCAGTTTGGAGGTGAGCATTACGAAACAGAGAGAGAGCCTCGAATGTGGTCTCCCACACGTGCAGACAGGCGCACACATTAGAACATACTGTGGTTTGTGTTAAGGCCTCTGGGTGCGTTGCACTAAGATTCTGACCTTTGTCATGGAAACCCAAATGGCCCATTTTTAAACTGAAAGGACTGCAGCAGTAATGTTTTGCAGTGATATTTTAGTCTTTCAGAAATTGTATTGTGATTGTTTTATTCTTGCTTTTGATAATTGGCACCTGTGCAACCTGCGCAACTACTGAATAGCACCTCTATAACCTCCTGAAAACTGGACAAAGCTGATACAAAAAAAAAGCAAAAACCTTTTTTTGTTGTTGCTGTTGTTCCCTGTGCCAAAGTCTTACTCTTAAAAAATACTTACAAAATGCCAGGGAAGTGCGTTGCAAATCACGTTTTCTCACGACTTTCTCAAATAATTGCTTTTGTCCATGCACAAGTGTGGTGCCCAGTTGAAGTGATACTTCTGTCTACACAGACATCAAGGACCTGAGAGTCAAACGGGTGTCAGAACCAGGAAATTTCTAGGTTGGGTTCTAACAGATACAGTTGGAAAACTGGGCAACTCCCTGCTGCAGACCACTGGCACTTTTCTGTGCAGGCTGCTCATCTGCTTGACTGAGGGTCAAAACCTCGTTTGTGTTTCCATCATCACTTTTTCCCCTCATTTGTTGAGGATTTCAGAGCATTTATTACCATTAACTGACAGTTTATTCTTGTAAACAATTTCTCATTATATTTGAGTTTGACTTGAGGAGGCAAGTGTTAGAAATATTAGGAGTCAGCATAATTTCCTAAAAAAGGAGAGCGAGTACTGCAAACTTTGCTTTTCACTGACGTTTGTAAAGACCRGTGAGAACTGTGTGCTGTGAAAACAGAGACTGGTTGTGCTTTAGAAGAAGAGCAAATTTTCTTATARGGAAAAAAGCACAAGAACAAATGCAGCTATAGAAAAAAAAAAGGGTTTGAATGGAAAAGGCAGGAGAGAGCTTGACCACATTGTTTCAACACCAGTTAGCCGTCTGTCTGTGTGTCCTTTCTTGGCCACATTCTATTTGACAGCCTGTCTGGGAGGTCCCTGAACCACAAAGAGCAAACATGCACAGACTCACAACTTCACTCGCACACACTTCACTATTCACAAGTGCGTTACACTAACATGTTCTGTGACTTATTTTTCACAAAAATATCATCWAGTATATGTGGCACGTATGTGGCATATGTTGCTGTTCTGAACAGTCCACATTTGAAAACGCCGTTATAAAGAAAAATCTTCCAGCATCAGCGAATTAATGAGCGTCCTGCCAAATATAACAACATTATCAATGTAACAAATTTAAACTGGAATGAACCAAAAAGAAACATTTTTTATTACTTATCGTAAGTTCAAACATCACACAAAGTTTCCGATAAAATAAAATAAAAAAACAAAAACAAATATAAAAGACCAAACATTTAAAATCAAGACTTTTAATTACATTTTATGGCTCAATAACAGTTCATCACATTCGAGTGTCTTTATACACAAACTTGTTGCTTTTCGTCACCTACAAATCAAAAAACATGATCACGTTTGATCTGTCTGTTACTCCAGTTATGTTTTTCTTCACCTTTGACCAAAACATTGCGCACATGGACACCCCCACACCCCCCACAAACACCCATGCGTGCCTGAACACACACTCACACAATTTTCTTTTCAACCAAAATAAATGTTTATAGCATTCCAAACATTTTGTGTGTGTGAGACGGTATGTGTGGTCCTGTCTGCACCTAGCATGAGGTTTGAGGTTAAGGTGTTTGCCGGCTGCTGTGTGAGCACATCGGTAGGGGTGTGTGTGTGTGTGTGTGTGTGTGTGTGTGTGTGTGTGTGTGT